TGAGGTGAGAGAGCAAGTCGACTCCCCAGCTTCACCAAGTCACTGTAAGATATGGCACCAGTTGATAAAATGTCATTCTGACAACCCTGCTGAATGGATTTATTGCAAAGGCTAGCTTCTTATTACCGCAGCGCTAACGGCAATGCAATGAAGGCGGGGCTAGGTGAGCACTTCCTTTAAATGGTGAGATGAATGAGGCAGTAGCCACTCCGATCCGATTGACACTGATCTACTATCTGACATTTCATAACCACTTTAATTTCGCCTGTACAATTTTCGCGTTCTTCAGTCCTCCACGCAATCGGCATACCCCTTTAGATTCTCGGATTTCATAACTCATCAGACCTTGTTGAAAGGTTCACTGTTGATAGAGACAAACAAGGTGACAGATCAATGGACACATCTTGAAAATCTGTTTGTGCAATTTTCCGCAGATAACATTAAAACTGTGCGGCGTTATATGGATTAACACATGCCAACTGATTGCAGGTGGATCGACTCCTGCCCTCCTTTGCTAGGGTTCCGTGCTCTACTATCAACTCTTGAGGTCGAGTCCATCAACGATTACATCTAATCAACAATTTGGCGTATCAGAATGATCCGCGCCAAATGCCTTCTCAATGGCTCACCAGCCACGCATTCACAGCATAGGCGTTAATCTCAAGGGACGATCTATTTTGTCCAGCGAGGTAGCAATCGAACAGCCAAGTGAACATGCGCTTCCTTCATTTATTTACAGTCACTAGTGTGCGAGTGGAAGTTGATGCGATTGATGCGGAACGATGTCGGCGCCTTTGCACCATTACAACTTTCCTTGTCAGTGAGAACGTTATTTCGCCCCAGAGATCATATGTAGAATATCAACCATGATTTCATATTGGTCTCCTCTTGGGAAGGAAGCACATCCATCATGCCTCAGAAACATTGTAATCCATTTAAGCATATTTACAACAGCAGCTCTTGGGCAGATGTCTATGCAGGGCTGCTCCAAAGTGTGGCTTTGATACTGGCCTTTCTCAACATCAAGTCCTAAGTTCCGCCTACCATGCTGGGTACAGATACAAGTGTCGTAGTGGAAGAAGATGTACTCCTACAAATGCGCTAAAACGGTGAATCTGTCATTGCTTACGGCAGCTCGCGATTAATCATATGCTGCGACGGAAGAGCGCAATGGTGCTCGAGGGCTTTGCTATCTGTATGATTTGTTGTAAGCAGAGACTATCAGGCTCTAATGTAGTTGAAGGCGATGACGGCCGCTAAGATGCCCGTTAGTGTGCAGGTTTCCGGCTGCACAATTTCACAGTGTAGCGGAAAAAAATTATGGGATCAAAAAAACGGAATACTGTCTCCCAGGTCACTATCGACTGATGGGGATAGCACTAAACAAACAAGCGAACAAACCTACAGCTTATCGATGCAGGAACACGCAGAACACAGCTCCTG